CCCCAAGTGAGCGCAACGGCTGATGCTGTGCCAGTCTGAAGCCAGGATCCAGGAACTTCTTCCAGGTATCCCACATGGGTGCAGGGCCATCTTTGACTGCTTTCCCAGGCCACAAGCAGGGAGCTGGAAGGGAAGTGCAGTTGCCAGGATTAGAACCGGCACCCATATGGGATCCAGGGGCGTTCAAGGTGAGGACTTTAGCCGCTTGGCCACTGTGCCAGGCCCTATATTGCTCATTGGTAAAGGTGCTTCTCCATTAGATATAGTAGACTTGAGTTGGCAGTTAATTCCAGCACCTGAAGTCTATCTTTGCACTATTTTCTGGCTACACTATTTGTTACAGGTTTTAGTTAAAAATAGCCTCTATCTGAGGATATCACAAAGGCTATTTCTGTGATTTTTTTAATGCCACCTCTGTATTTTTGGAGTATCTTATCTACTTTAATCGATTTTTATTCAGTGAATTTGTTGTTTATTGATTAACTTTCAGTCTCTAACTTAAAATGTATGGACTGCCATTCTTTTTCCTCTTCCTGGAACTCTGTTGTAATGTTTAGGCTTGTGTGTCGTACCCACTTTGTCTCACCCTCTTCCCCACTCAGTTTTTAATTTCTCCATGCTTTGTTGTTGATAGTTGCTTCTGACTTAACGTTAAAGTGGCCTAATTGAGCTGAGACTATAAAACACATCCAGTGATGTCTTGGCCTTATTTATTTTTCATTTCTTTAGTTTCTGGAATGTTTTTCAGCTCTCTGATTTCCTTTATTACAGTATCTAGTTATTTTTAGATACACTTAAGTTTCTATATTCATAAGCATAGCTGTCTTACATGTCCTTGTCAAATGATTTCATATTTGAAATCTGTAGTCTGTTTCTTGTCATGTTGTTGTGGCTCCATGTTTTTTCCTTATACACTTTGCTGAGCATGTCATGTAAGAATTTGCTCATGGGGATTCTGCAAGACTTGGGTGATAGCTTTCTCCAAAGAGGATCTCTATTTTGTCTTGAATTCAGCCATTAATGTGGCCTCTCTCTGTATGTTCCTGCCCTCAATTCAAAGGGGAGCCCTTCAGAATACAGAATATGGTTTGTTGTGCTAGTCTCTGTCTCCCATGCTCTGAATTAAAACCCCTGCTTTTCACCCCCTTGTCTTGGCTCTTTGAGTCAATCCTGCCTCTCAATGGTTTCCACCTCCTAGAGCTGGAATAGCATCCTCTGTGGAGGGAAGAGGGACAAGGAAGTGTCGCAGCAGGTTCTCTGCTTCTTGGGCTTCATGACTGCCACCCACTTGTCTCCAGGTGGGTGTGGGTCTCAGCTGCCCTTGCTGGAAAGGCAGAAATACCTCTTTTCCACTCTTGGCTCTCACATCATCTCCTTATTCTCACCCTGATACTAATAGGTCCTTGATAATTTGTTAGCAAAAGCATTATAAATTTTGTCCAATATTTTTAGAAGTATTAATTGTAGATGTTGTCTGCTACAGAGTTAACCCTAAAAATTTCATGTAATATAATCAAGATCACAGAGGGGTCTTTTCTATGATGTTAAATATTGTAATGTCCCCCCTTTTCTACAGTTCCATTTTCTTAGTATGTTACCCAGAAATAAGAAATTTATGGTCTTATTTCTTAGATACAGATTTAATTTACTTGAAAGGTAGCATGATGGAAAAAAAAAAATCTTCCATCTTTCTAGATGGCCTCCTATGGCTGGCTGGACCAGGCCAAAGCCAGGAGCCAGACATGTCATCCAGGTCAACCCACCTAGGTGGTCAATGCTTAGATACTTGGGCCATCATCACTGGCTGTTATCCCAGGAGCATTAACAGGGAACTAAATGAGAACAGCCAGGACTTCATTTTTCCAATATGGGATGCTGAGTAACACAAGCAGCAGCTTAATCAGCTGGGCCATAACACTGGCCTCTGATTTCTAAGTTGTAAATTGAGATGCATTCTGAGTAGCATGATGAAAGCTTGTGCCATCTTACCCAGAATGTAAGTCATCCCTTTATCCACAATATACATGCTGTATTGCTACCCACTTGTTATGTGCCTATTAGCCATCTCAGTGATCAGATCAACTATTGTGATATATCAGTGCTTGTGTTGAAATGACCCTTATTTTACTCAGTAACAGCCCCACACTAAGAAAGTAGTGATGCTGGCAATGTGGATATGATGAAGAGAAGCTATAAAATGTTTTCTTTACGTGAAACGGTTAATAGTTCTCAACCTGTAAAGAAAGAAAGAAAAAAACAAAAAGACTAAGGTGAGATTGCAGAGATCTGTGGTAATAACATATGTCCATGAAATTGTACTAGCTTTACTGTCAGACTTGGAAGTACAAAAATTATGACATTATACAGTTAAGTGGTTAGTTAAGATGAAAAAGGCATTATACATCTAGGAAAAATATATATACATAGTGCATTTAGTATTCAGTATGATCCATGGTTTCAGACCACCATTGGAGATCCAGAACTCACCCCCCAGAGACTAAGGGGAGTCTGCTTGGCCCCTCTGCCCGCCTTCCAGGATAGGTTTTCTACCACTGTTCCATTTGTGGTTGCTTCTCCGCACCCCCCCCCCCCAAAAAAGTCTATATTGCAGTTCTTTTTACAAATAGTGACATAATGTATCACTTTGGTTCCAAATATAAGACCTACTGAGAAAGGGTAATAAATATGTTGGCTTTTTTTGCCTGCTGTGCTATCAGACTCTGCTCTGTATACTGAGCCCTATTACTGAAAGAAAGTCACCATATTTGTTTCATCTAGTGATTTATCAAACATAGAACACTGAAAAACTGAACACAGTGGCAAGAGGGAAACGAATTTAAAAAGTTGTAAATTGTTTCTGTACTGTGAAAGAAGGGAGGTGCTTTACCAGTGGCAGACTTGATACGTAAAGCCAGGGGTTAGGTGGCTCACCACACTCCCACAGTGTAGACCTCAAAGCAGGCCATGGGGAACACTTGGAGTCGCCGGGTCAGACAGGTGCTGTTTGCATCAGTGCTACTTCCTAGTAGTCTGGCACTGAGTTGTAGCCCATTCTCAAAAAAAAAATCATAGGACAGTATACAGTATATGTTTGTGCATATGCAGTAGCTTGTGATGCCCAGAACCTGCCTAAATCTGAAAAGTCCTGTCTTCCTCCCCTAGCTTTATACATTGTAGGTACTTAACTTCCGGCCTGCTGCTGCCACCTTTGGCTTTGGGGGTGGTTTTTTGTAGATGGAGTTAGTCAGACTCATCACCTCAGTAATATCTTGGTTCATTTCCTGCTCTTGATTTATCTTCTCTTTTAAAGGAAAAGTATTTATTTTCAGTGTTCTGAGATTTTATGCTGATGTTGAATTTATCCCCTCAGGGAAAAAATGCTCTGGTGTCTGAAATGAGTTGTTCTTCAACCAGGTCATGGACCAAAGTCACTGGTTTACCCCATTTAGTTACTCCTTTCTCAAAATTTTCTAAGATGGAATCAAAAATAGAATTTAGGAAAGCACTGGCTTTGTTCCAGTTTCAGCTCTGGTTAGTCTTTTTAAAGTTTTGATTCCTCTTCTCTTTCTACCCCGACCTTTTTTATTGAAGAACCTTAAGCCAACCCAGTATTATCTTGCTTCTACAGGCAATGGTCAAGGTCAGTTGTGTGCATTTTTCTTTTTTTCTTTAGATATATTTATTTGAAAGTTGAAGAGAGGGAGATAGAAATTTTCCAACCATATGGCTAAAACGGTCAGTGCTGGGTCAAGCCAAAGCCAGGAACCAGGAGTTTCATCCAGGTTTCCAAGATGAATGGCAGAGGCTGATACTTGGACCATCTGTTTTTCACAGGCCATTTACAGGCAGCTGAATCAGAAGTGAAGCAACCATAACACTAGTGTGTACCTAGATGGGATGCCAGCATTCCAGTGGACAATTGTACTTGCTTTGCTGCAATGCCAGTCCCAGTATGTACACTTTCTGTGATTCCCTCTTCCCTTAATACTTGGCACATCCCTGTCTTGAGCTGCATAGATATATCTTTCAGAGAGAGGCTGAGAGAAAGCAGAAGAGTTGACTCCCATTGTGAGGGTCTTCAAGGTGGATCTGAGAGAGGTGCTATAGCATCTGCTCTCCATGTTGAAGACTACCTCTAAGTGAAGCCAAAGATCACCATTGACAAAGAAGCTTTCCTACCAAGCGCTTAGCCACCCCTGCCATCACATCCAGGAGCAAGCACTGCTCTTTGTCTATAGCCTGACTGTTGTCCCTGGGTCAGTGTTCAATTTTTTTTTTTTAATCTTTTAAAAGTTATTTTTATTTGAAAGAGCTACACAGAGAAATCTTCCATATGCTTGCTCACTCTCCTGGTAGCTTCATCCAAGTCTCCCACAGAAGTGGCAAGGTCCCAAATCTTGGCCCTTCTTCCACTGCTTTTCCCAGGTCATTAACAAAAAGCTAAATTGGAAATGGAACACTGGTGCCCACAGGCAGCATTTTTACCCACTATACCACAGCACTAGAGCCTCTCTTCAACTTAAAGTGCATACCTTAAGCTTTCTAATAAGTTAGTTTATACATACACATTCGTTCTCCCCCAAAAAGGGTAAGCCTTTTGGGACTAAGATAAGGAGCTGGAGAAGTGATCGAAGACTGCTCACTGGAGCCAAGATTCAGAGTATCTCCGTAGGCATTTTTCAGAGTATACTTTTTCTTTGTCTCCTATCACCATTATCATTGCAGCTGATTAAAGTAATAAACATAAAAATCATCATCCAACATACAGAAAAGGAAAAAGGCCCTTGTATAGGTAAAGTCTGGTTATAAACTAGGTAACTTGGGGGATCAAACCTAGCAGGCTTTTGAGCCACCTCATCTCCTCCCTGTCCTAATCCCTTTAATAATAACCGTTGACTGTGGCAGGCACCCCAAGGGTGCTGCATAGAGCAGTTGAGCTCCTGGGATTTGGCAGTATCCTGCACAGGTTATGTGGTGGGGAACATGATTACCTGTGCAGCTGCATGTGCCTCTGCTCCAGAGGCAGCCGTAGCAGTTGGGCTCAGGACTGGGAAATGACCAAGGCAGTCCAAGCACGTCTCCAGAAGGTCGCCTTACATCAGCTCTGAAGGGTAATTGCTTTTTCTTGGCTGGTGAACAAAAGGAAAGTAACTCTGGTGAAGGACTTCCTAAGAGCCCTACTAAGCATAAGGAGGAGACAGCTCAGAGTAAGGCCTCTCCGTAGCTCAGGTATGTTCCTTCTACTCTGGCCTACGCCCAACCTGTTCCGTAGATTATAGAGACAAAAGGCATAGGAAATACAGATGGAGAATACTTTTGTTTAGGTTACAAGAGATTGGAATGAACACTGGCTAGAGGACAGCCTTCCATAACTGAATATGTAAGGCTTCCCAGGGGATCTAGAGGTAGCTGCGTGTCTCAGGGCTGCTGAATGTTTCTGAAAATTAGGATAGGAGCCTAACAACACAGCACATTCCTTTCCTTCCAAAAAACCCAAATCAAGGCCTGAGCACCTCTCCCTGAGTCAGTAAGAGTTTTTCCAGCCCATTCCTGATAGAGTAGGCTGTAGGTCCCACATAGTTTCTGAGAAAGTCTCGGCTGTAGCCCACTATGGCACATCTTTGAGCCAGCACGCTTATGATATCAGTGCATTCTTGATCATCAAACTTTGTGGTTATCCAAAGGATGTGCCATAGTCCTGGTTTAGATATACGGGATTGCTCTTTTCTCACCTCTGAAGGTATGTATGGAGGACTGATGGAGGTTGATGGCTTGTTTTCAGAAGTAAAGCACGTGGACCAGCTACTTGTCTTCAGTCTGGAAATTAGAGCATGATCGTTATTTGAAAGAAGATGTATAAAAGAAAAGTTAAGCATGTGTGAGGGGACTGAATTGAGGAATCACAGAGAGCTAGCAGTGTCAGCTGTGGTCTGCTGGGTGGGTTTGTCAGTGTAGGAGGTGGGCATATGGAGGTTCACTAGACTGCCGCCATTTCTAGTTCATGTGCTTGATGCTCCAGAATTGTTTAAGTCCATGGAAAATTGCATCTTTTTTTTTCAATTAGGTTATTAATATAAAAAGCCAGAAATATTTCTGAAAGATTCCATGCCAGTTCTTGTTAGAAGTAAACATATAAATCAGAAAGCTGCCTATAAATTCTTTAATAAGGAAAGAAATGTGTATCTACGTTAATAGGTCCTGCTCCTTCCCTTCTACCTTAAATTATTCCCACTATCTGTCACCTAATGCAGAGCTTTGAATACATCTTCCAGGAGTACATTTCTTTGTATGTGCACAACATGAAAGTAACTGCCATATAAAAACTCTGCAAGCATTTATTGCAGATTGATTATAAGCCAGACATTGTAATAAGCCCTAATGTTAGAAGCGACTGACTTTAAAGAGGTTGCTTTCAAAGAGGTGAGGCAGACATGTACGTGAAATAAAGCGTACTGTGATGACCAAACCAACAAAACTGTCCAAAGCAGCAGCCAAGCCAGCAAGGTGAGTTAGTGAGGTCCTGCCTGGTGGACTAATCTGAACCATAACATGGGCAGGTCAGTTGTATAAGAACTAAAGCTAATGAAGCCAGCCATGAAAGACCTGCCTGCAAGGGTAAGGCTGTTGAGCTTCATCTTGGATTAGTTAGTAGTGTTTCTAAGCAGAATATTGCGTTCAGAATTATCACTCTGAATTATGATTCCTTAATGACAACTTGACTGTTTTACTGTTCATGTCATGAAGCTTTACGTATCAGCATATTTTCAGATGCAGGGAAAAAACAGTTCAATAAGTGTGAATAACCCTGAAGACACTGAAGTCAGTGGAAATCTGTCACAAAAGGACAAATACTGCAGAATGCCAATTACATGAAGTGTCTAGAGTACTCAGAGTTTTTTCTTTTTAAGATTTATTTTTGAGCCTGGCACAGTAGCCTAGTGGCTAAGGTCCTCGACTTGCACTCCACCGATCCCATATGGTGCTGGTTCTTATTCCCAGCTACTCCACTTCCCTTCCATCTCCTTGCTTATGGCTTGGGAAAGCAGCAGAGTACAGCCCAAGGTCTTCAAACCCTGCACCCATGTGGGAAATCCAGAAGAAACTCCTGGCTTTTAGCTTTGGATCGGCACAGCTCCAGCCATTGTGGCCACTTGGGGATTGAATCAGCAGATGGAAGAACTTCCTGTCTCTCCTTTTCTCTATGTATCTGACTTTCCGATAAAAGTCATAAATCTCTTAAAATATATATATTTCTGCTGGGAAGGCAGATTTACAGAGAGAAGAAGAGACAGAGATCTCTCATCTACTGGTTCACTCCCCAGATTGCTACAATGGCTGGAGCTGAACCAGTTAGAGCCAGGAGCTTCTTCCGGGACTTGCATGGGGATGCAGCATCCTGAGGCTTTGGGCCATCCTTTGGAGCTTTCCCAGGCCACAAGCAGGGAGCTAGATGGGAAGTGGAGCAACCGGGATATGAATTGGTGACCATATGGGGTGCTGGCTCTGAGTAGTCAGATTTTTAGAGACAGAAAGGAGAATGTTGGTTGCCAGGGCACAGAGACTTATCTAATGGGCACAGACTTTGTTCTGTTAGACTACAGGAATTCTGGAAATGGTTGATGAAAATTGTACAACGGTGTAGATATATTTAAGGCCACTGAATAATCAAGTCGATGCTCAGGGCACTCATGTCTTATATGGGAGAGCCTGGTTCAGGTGCCTGCTCCACTTGGGATTCCAGCTTCCTGCTAATTGCACATCTGGGAGGCAACATTGTGGCTTAGAGGGTTGGGTCTCCACCACCCACCTGGAAGGCCGAGATCAAGTTTGTGGCTTTTGGCTTTGACCTGGGCCAGGCATCTGGGGAGTGAACCAGCAGGTGGGAGATCTACCTCTCTCATTCAAGTAAAATAGTAAATAGGTAAATGTTATTAAAAATGATTAAGATGGCAAAATTTGTTATGTATATTTCATTACAATTTTAAGATGGCTTCAACCAAATGGAAAATATATTATCTTACAACAACTCTGCAAGTAGAACAGCATTGGAATTCATTCCAAGATTCAGCAGTACCAAAAAGGGACTAGGTTTTCTCTGTCTTCTCATTCTGCCACCATCTATACATCCAGGTCATACCCTTATAAGACAGTAACACTAGGAAATTACTTTCTAAAAGAGCACCCAGAGGGACAGGTGTTGTGATGTAGCAGAGAAAGCCACTGCCTATGATGCTAGGATCACATATAGATGCTAGTTTATGTCCCGGCTGCTCCACCTGTTTGGACTCCTGCCACCCACATGGGAGGACCTGGAAGTAGTTTCTGGCTCTTAGCTTAAGCCTTGCCCAGCACTGGCTGTTGTGGCCATCTAGATAGTTAGCCAATAAATGGAATATTCCTTCATTCTTCCTTCTCTTTAATTATTTTTAAAATAACTAGAAAAAGGATACCCATGGAAAGACTGTCATTCTAACTCTTTATAAGAGATACATTATACCCATTTTGTATATTACATGACCTCCTAATTTCTTCCTTAAGCTTCTTCCCACAGTCTTTCTGCTGGATAAATGCCAACTTTGTCTCCAGACACTTCCTTTACTCAGTTAAAAAAGCTTAGCTTCATTTTGCTTCTTGTCACACACCCTGCATCCATCCACAAAGTCTTTGGGTGTGGGGAAGAGACTAAGAAGCTAAGTGGCTAAGAAACTTTAGTCATTTCCCTTACAGAGATAGGAATTAGAGTAGCTATTACCAAAAGTAAAGGAGACCAGAAGAAGCCACAGTGCCTAGATTTAGTGTAGTAGTAAGGGCAGACATTGAAGGAGACTGGAAGGAGTTACTCATAGTCACCTTTCTCCCAGCCCTAAGCTTGGTGTGGAGAAAGACTCCAGCACTCCTGCTGAGGGAAGAAGAGAGAATTAGATCTAGAATAGACTTGAAACTTTATACTACAACTGCCACAGTGAAACTTGGTGCCAGTAGAGTACCACAACCCCTCCCCCCAGGGAGGGGAGCCTTGGGATTCTCCCTACCAGGTAGCCAACAGACTGTTGCCATCATTCCCAACTACTGGCAGACTCAAAGCAAGACTCTGTGCCTTGAATCTCAGAGCTTGGTCTACTGTGCTAACACCCAGCATCAGCTGGAGACCTGGGTCCTGGTAGATGGACTGCATCATCCCAGCCTCACACAACAAGTCACTGGACAGATCCTAACGGTGCCTGTGGATATAGTCCTTGCACATGCCCCGCTATCAGATGGGAACTTCTATCCCAGCTAGCATCACCTGGGTTGGCAGTGGCCTCAGACCACCAAGTCCATCTCAGCAGCGGGCAGGCTGTGAACAGCATGAGCCTTAGTCCTACCCGCATGTCCATCTTGTCAGGTTGTGAGCTCCAAAAGTAAACTAACTTGGTGGTTTTGGTGGCTACACAACTATGTGTTCTGTTCTTCCCCAACCCTGGGCAGCATAGCATGAATAATTCTGTGCTTGAGCAAAGTATAGGGAAGTAGGTGCTAAGACATGACATAGAAACCTGGAGACCCACACATTCCTACTGGATTTTAGGAAAGCACTACTGTGACCCCAGTTACCACAGGGACCCTAGCAACAGTTCTCAGATGCCAGGCTGGCATGTCTACAGATCACTGCCAAATCCATACACCTGATAGGACTGAAATAAATGTGCATGCCCCACTGTTGTTTCCATCACTTAGTACAAAGGGATACCGGAAGACTACACTACAGCATCCAGCTGGAACAAAAGCCAAAGTAACTTACCAGACCAACACTCAAAGACACATCCAGGAGAAAACCTTTTGCCATGAAAGCCAAACTTGAAAAGTGATAAAACAGGTGTTCCGGGTGTGCAACTGTCAACACAGGAACACAAGAACTATGAAAAAACAAAAACAAAAACAAAAACAAAACAGGATAGTGTGATGCCTACAAAGGAGTGCTGGTCCCACCCGCATGGGAAACCCAGAAGAAGCTCCTGGCTCTGGATAGACTCATCTCTGGCCATTGTAGTCATTTGGGGAATGGTTAGAGGATAGAGGATTTTTATCTCTCTTTCTTTCTGTAAATCTGCCTCTCCAACAAAAATAAACAAGTTTTTGAAAAGGAGAAATTTACTTCACTAGTAGACACAGATTGAACATGAGAGAAAAAACAATATTTCATAGAAACCGAAAGACAGGAGTTGCTTTTCTTAGACAAAGTAGATGTCAAGATAAAAACTCTTAAAAAACAAATCCTCTGTATAATGAACAAGGGATTGACTTCAGCAATCCCTTGGATTACACCTTTGTAGGATATACAAAGCAGCACCCAGTATTTTAAGACAAATGGTTTTAAAGGAGGCATAAGGTTCAATACAGTAAAGCAGGGAACTTCAGCACCCCACTTGGATCAATGTACAGGTCATCCAGACACAACAACAGAGAAACTTTAGAGTTAACTAGAGACCAAAAAGATTTAACTGACATTTGCAGAATATTCTATCCAACAAATACAGAATATTCTTTTCACCAGTTCACAGGACATTATCTAGAATAGATTATACATTAGGCTCCCAAAGAAATCTCAAAAAAAAAAAGTCATCTGCCTTATCTGACTGCAATAGAATAGAACTAGAAATGAAGAAAAGTTTAAATAATAATACGTGAAGACTGAACGTACTTCTGAAATTAATAGTGGGTCATCCAGTAAATGAAAATAGAAATGTTAACATGCCTTGAAATAAACAAAAGTGAAAATACAATAAACCAAAATTGATGAGGTATAGCAAAAGCAGTATTAACATGGAGTAGAAATT